GGCGGCATATAACACCAATAAATAAATAATAATGGCCTGATAGAAGCAAGAAATCTAGACAGCATTTAAATTAGATCTCCAGATTTAAGGGACCCATGCATTACCCTGTTAAAAGAAACAAGAACTTGGAGGTTATTGAGGTAGCCTGCTGCGTGTCCCCTCCTTTGTCATTTAGACCGGATTAAAAAAAGGAAATGTTTAAAACAGGAACACCAGCATTCATTTTTGTAAGCCCTATTGGAAGACTCCAGCACTACGAGGATAAAATAGAGCACAAGGGCAGGATGTTGCCTTTTCATGTCTGCTGTCTTCTTTCCGGCTCTTCAGGGCCCACTTACCCAGGATCAAGATGTTAGCTCTCACTTTTGTTTTTCAAATCATGCTAGTCTTAATTGCACAATTAAAATATTTTCCAAAACTCCTCTTCCTACTTTCTCTGGTGCCAGAGCAGAGCTGCATGTAAACACCCCTAAAAGACCTGCTCTCCTTTCATTCCTTCTTAATACTCCAGTGCGATGCCTATGAAAACAAGATAGGCAGCTGGCTTACCGGGGCTGTTTTTCATGCTGACTGGTATCATTTAATTGTGTCCTTGTACTCCTGTCTGGTTTTTCTATGAACCCTTTATGTGCAATTTTGCAGTTAAACTGTAAACTCTTCACGGTAGGGACTGAGATTGTTTCATGTTTGCACATGAACAGGATCCTGGACTCGTATGTGCTGCCATAAATACAAACGATGCTCAATTTGCTTGCAATTTTCAGTGTTCATGTCTATATTTAGCCAACTATTCCAATTTTAAACTGGCACTGCTGCTTGTGCTGGGGTTCAAAGCAACTGCAGACAAAAACCATTTAAACAAAATCTGCAAACGTGTATCAGTAGTGCATGCGGAAAGCTTAAACAGCCCACTGTATCAGCAGCTGTTTTTTCTGCATTACTCTTTGGGTTTCTGTGTTGCACAAGACAGTCAAATAACATTATTCAGAAATCTTACAGTAAATCTCACAATCAGGACTGCTGGTTGTTCAAGAGGTTGCAGGGTGCCTGCTTCTTTCATTTATTTTCAGCTTAGTCATCCAAATACCAGATTCTTGCAGCCGCTGTAATTGTTCTTTTTGCACCACTCCCCCACTACTTAGAAAGACTTAGGTCTTTTTGTTCTATATACAGTTTTAGCACTGGTGTGACAGTAAATATTTTTCTGAAGGAGAGATTTGTTACTAAAGTAATCATACCAGTACAATACCTACCACGAATGCTGTTATACCAGAATAACTGCCTCCAAACTAAGGGACTGTGACTCTAGCAGTACATCCAGTGCTTGTAGGCAAATTTAAGAGACCCTACTTCACGGGAGCCTCAAGGACATCTACCTCCAGAGCTGGCATGAGATGGAGAGAACATCCCCAACTGTGTCAGGACTGGTACTGTTTCCATCTCAGCAGGCAGAGGTGCAGTAACACATGCCTTAAAATCTCTATCCTCTGTGTCGTGGAAACACATGCAGCATACTTTTGGGTCAGGTCAGCAGAAGCTTTTATTTAAAAGAAACTACAGCTGTAGGGGGGGATTCCAAAGTAACATGGATCTCCCAAGCACTTGGAAGGGGTCCCTCCCCAAGAGCAAAATCAGGAGGCTTATATACTTTTTAACAGTTGCTTACAACTCACGTGATCATATAGTGAAATTAGCATGAAAAGCGGCTATAATATTACTTCATTATTTCTTTGCTGTAATCAGGATGGGAACTAATGGGGGAGGCGAGGTTAGTTCACAAACCTCCTTCTTGCACCTGCAAATCAGAGTTGTACATACTTTTTGCTATCTTCAAGGCCGCGGTGAGCGAAGCAGTTGCAGAGGAGTTATAAAGAACAAACACTTTCTCTTATCTGTTCTACTATACAGAGCCAGCAATTCTCCACAAAGCGGTTATGTCATCTTATAACTAAAATAGTCAAAGTTTAAGGCATATATTTTTTCTGATTCCACATCTGCTTGCTTAAACCTTACAAATTACTTGAATATGTTTCTCCTGTGCATTTTCACATGGAACAGAGTTTGAATTAAACAGGAAAGAGAGGGTGAGCGAGCTGAAGACTAGGCTCTGTTCCTGCTCTCTACACCCAGAACTCTGGAAACATCTTTTTTCCCCTTCATTCTGCCTTTCAAAAGCAAGGTGTATATTATATTCAGAAGTGTGTAATATGTAAGAAAATACAGTATTTTATTTTACTTGTTTTTTGATAAAAAGGGTTTGTTAACTTCTAATCAGTTATACAACTTAACGTGTATAAAACCGGTTGTTATGAAGGTGGTGATCAACCGTTCTCAGTGTCTGCAGGGGACAGAGCAAGAAGCAATAGGCTGAAATTGTAACAAGGGAGACAGTGCTTAGAGAGGAGGAAAATCTTTCTACCTCGAGAAGCTGCGGACTTTGTTAGTGAAAGTTTTTTAGTGCACAAATATTGGATAAACATCTGCCTGGCATGGTTTTTCAGAGAGGATCCTCCCTGGAACAGGTAGTTGGACTGGATCACCTCCCGAGATCTCTTCCAGCGCTAGGATTCTGTGCGTTGGTTGCAGACCATAAGAAATGCAAGGAGCACGTTTCTAATGCAATTGGAGCATGTGCAGAATCGCATCAAATACTGCAGGTTTTACACCACGTTACCACCACCAGCGCTGGAAATGCTTATGTAGAGGTTACCCTGTGTAATGCAAGTACGTATCTTTTTATTATCATCATAAACAGAAGGAATGTGTTAAGTGTTAGAGGGATGTCATAACTGTGGTGGTTCAAGAATTATGCAAGCGGCACATAACAACAAAGCTAAGCAATATAAAGGGGGCCTGCAGTTTGTTTTGCAGAGAACTACTGTTCATAAAGTAAGCTATTTTACAACCAGCTGGATACTACTATATCTTATTTTTTAGATGTTATCATAAATGTTCTGTACTTCAGAACCTGGTTCCTGAAGTAACATTACTGCTGTCATTTTGGCTCCTAAGCTAAATTGTTTCAGCAATAAACTGTAAAGAAATGACTGTATTTAACAGCAGAGGACTCAATACAGAGGGACTGTGGTAAGAGCAGACAATGCAGCACCTTATTCTGTATCTACATTACCTACAAAGTATTGAATTAGAACAAGGATATCCCAGCTCTCTTGGCTCTGTGGGCCAGATCTGGACTGTGGGGCTTCTCAGAGACCAAGCAACCCACCTCTGGCAGCGGGGTGAGCAGCAGTATCTTGTTGGCAGAGCTGTCGGGACCAGGATGCATGAATCAACTAGTATTGGTGTGGCTCCAGGGGTTGAACCACTTACTCCTCCACTTTCCCCCCTACTGCTAATTTAATTGTCAACAGCAATCAAAGACCCCAAATTCAGTGGTAGGGAAATGGCGGGGCAGTGCACGTGCATCTATGCTGGCAGGCAACAGCAGCGTTTATCCCCTGGGTTCAAGTTGCACCAGTGCAGCAGTTCTGGCAGCCAGGTTGCAGCCCATGAATGGTTAAATCATGGCTCCTGCGGCTTATCATGTAAGCTATGGGGCTCTGGATGGACAGCCCCAGGTTAGAATTAGGACTGGAATTTCAACTTGAAGAGATCACATGGCAAATGTTAACATCTGTACCAAAGCAGACATGAGCAGCCAGTTTCTTGGGGGTGTCTTTTTTATTTAAAGTGAAAATAAAAGTGAGAGCCTATCAGATTTTTTTCACTGGCTGGGTTTCATACAATACAGCACAGCAGTTCTGCCTGCGTGAACTAGTTTCTTTCAGCAGTGGCAAGGGCTATGAAAATTGTAGTAGTCAGAGCAGAGGGTTAGGGTCTGAGCAAGTGGCTCCTCTGTCTACCGTCTAGTAAAGAACAGAATGAGAAAGCAAAATAGTTTCCCAGAATAAAAAGTAGCCATCGCTTGCATGTGCTCTTGCCAGCGCCGGCCATTTTCAAAGGGGCCTAGGCCAAGCTGCTGTACTGTGGCTAAAGCAGACCTCAACGGCTGCAGAGAGACCCTTAGCACATCTGACAACTAGCTTGGGCAGCAAAGGAAAGAAAGCAATTAACACGTCCAACTAAACCAGGAGTGAAATCATCTTAGACAGAGCAAAAGACCTGAAAGGAAACATTAAGGAGGCCTTAAAATAGATAACATATACTATATTACAGATTTAGCTTAAAAATGTTTGTAGTGATTATTGATGTTACCAATGTATTAGACTTGGTAGGTAGCTAAATGGCTTAGTTTGTGTTAAGTGTTTTAGGCAAGTTGTAAAAAGAAAGCAGCCTTGTCTGTGAAGACCATAAACTAAGGTGAAGAAAAACTAGGGTGGTGGCAAGTAGCAGCCCAAGATGGTGAAGGATGGAGATAAGAAACCCCTTCTTTCCAGGATATTAGTTTTCATAAGGATATATATCCTAACTGAGACCTTTCAAGGCTGTAGAAAATTTGGTTCAGCCTGGATCCTAAAATCTCAGTGAAACAACAACATTGGTTTACTTAAATCAGAGTATATTTGTTAGAATAAATCATGTATAAATATATAGACTGACAGGGAGGGGGAACTGGAGAGCTCAGATAATTCAAGAAGACCTGCTGCTAGTCTGCACGCCCACCCTTCTCGAGTCTCTCCTGCTGGTATAGGTACAAAGCTGAGTGGCACTGTTGTTGGGGCCAGCCAGATAGGCATTGGGATACAAGTTTAAATTTTGTGTTTTGAGTAAGTACTAAAAGGTTGAGCGGTAGACCTGTCTCTTGCTTCTTTTCATCAGTAGCCAAGCTACCAGTTCCCTGGTAATTCAGGTAACAGTTAGTGACTGCTTTCAAGAGGTGGGCACTGTTATCTGTTTATCAGTGAGAGTCAAAGCAGCAACGAATGATCAAGCCTGTGCAGAAGATGAGGAGGGATAAAAAACACTGCAACAGCATGTAGAAAGAACTGTAGCAATACATTCTGTAAATGGCTATTAGAAAAGGATGTACGTACAACTCCACAGTTTGAAATTATTTTACTTTGATTAAATAAAAAAAAAAGACAGACATTTAGATACTATATTTCCATAAAATGTGTTTTGTATTGAAATTAACAGTCATAGTGGAATTACACCAAAAAAAAAAAAATGGCCATTCCCCAAAACCTCTGTATCTGCCAGACTGCAGGCCTCTGGAAAAGGCTGTACCAACATTATTCCACTGCACAGTAAAAAGGCTCTTGAAAATAGGCTCCACTTGCCTGTCGGCCATTAATGAATTTGCCTGTAGCCCATCATTGTTTCCTTAAATTTCCACCTGCCAGATGGTCTATAAAACACTGTTCTGATCTGGTGCATACACCCACAACAGCTGTTAGATCAAAACATCTGCACTTCCAGCCCAGTAAACATTGGCACTGCTTTAGAAAGAAGTCTGAACACAGCAGTCTTGTCTAGCGAGGCTGGCCAAGAAGTCCTGCTTTAGCAGCCAGAGCTTCATTCTGCTGAATGTGGTACTCCTGAAATCTCATGGAGATCCTCTGTGTCATTTTCAAATACTTCTGTAAGCAGTGTTCTGCGCAGGTTGTCTACAGGAGAAGGAGACACAGAAAGGTCAGTGCAATGATTAAAAGAAAAACACTACAGAGGACTGTCCGAGGTGACATATGGATGGGTGAAGATCTGGTATCCTGTATCTATGCATAATTAGCTCCCAGTTAAACAGCCTTTGTCCCACTGCCTGTTTGTAATGGGGAAAATGTTCAGTTTGTAAGAAGAATCTGAATTTTCTTCTGTCATTTCCTCTAGTAGGGAACCACAGCAGAAAAACTTAAAATTAAATGCATCCTCAGGAGGCCTTTCTAGACTATCGTTCCCATGATTCATAATGATTTAAGAATGGCTTCCCAAAATAGGCAAACAGTCAAAAAAGGACAGCGCCCTAAAAAAAATCCAACAGCACTGAAACCCTGAAACGACATGGGTAGTCCAGGAGCATTCCAGTGGCGTTCCATCTTCTGAGTAGTTACAGGTGGGTTATTTTCCCTTTTCTAATGATACCATGCAGCACAAGTCTCCCTGTTCAAGTATGAAGGTCTTAAGAAAAGCTCTAAAAGGACAGATTACACAAGGCTAATTCTTTGTAGTAACAAGGCCCATGCCAACCTTGGGAACACAAAGGTTGTCTTTACAAAATGCTAAATAGAACATAAGAAAAATACTGAACATGTTTCTACCCCCCACGGTCTAACTGACAAAAGGTTTAGCACAGCTTTGTCCAGCGACCGTTGGCCAAAATTAAATAAAAAAAATATATATAAAAAAAATAAAAAAAAATTAAGGGCAATGGGATAGTAATGCTCTCACACAAAGGAGCTAAAGGTTCAAGAGTGGGAACTCTACCTGATGGACATCTTCATGGAAGATCTTTTGCTTCTTTCATGTAACATTTCTCACCGGGACGTTGCTTACTAAGGAGCTATAATCTCTCAAGTAACTTTACGACTCTTTGATCATGGAAAATCTTTCAAAGTTTCTTACCAATATTAGAATCATTGAAAACGAGGATTGGAAGGGACTTCAGGAGGTCACATCTAGTTTAACCACCTGGTCAAAGCAGGACCATTCCCAACTAGATCGTCCCAATCAAGGCTTTGTCTAGCTGGGCTTCGGAAACCTCCAAGCGATGGAGATTCTACAACCTCTCTGGGTAACCTGTTCCAGCGCTTTACTACCCTGCTGGTGCGAAAGTTCTTCCATATCCAACCTAAACTTCCCTTGCCGCAGCTTTAGACCATTGCTCCTTGTTCTGTATCTGCCACCACTGAGAACAGTCCAGCTCCATCCTCTTTGAAACCCTCTTTAGGGAGCCAAAGGCTGCCATAAAATCTTCCTTCAGTCTTCTCTTCTCCAAACTAAATAAGCCCAAGTCCCCCAGCTGGTCCTCATAAGTCATATGTCCCAGTCCCCGAAACATTTTTGTTGCCCTCCGCTGGACTCTCTCCAATGTGTCCACATCCTTTCTGTAGTGGGGGGCCCAAAGCTGGACACAGTATTGAAGATGTGGCCTCACCTGTGCTGAATAGGGGAAATAACCACTTCCCTTGATCTGCTAGCAGTGCTCCTTCTAATGCAGCCCAGTATGCCATTAGCCTTCTTTGCAACAAGAGCACACTGGTGACATATTCAGCTTATTGTTTGCTGTGACCCCCAGGTCCATTTCTGCAGAGCTGCTGCTTAGCCAGTCGGTCCCCGCCTGTACCGGTGCGGCAATTCCACAACAGAAACTGTGCAGCAGTTTCACATGAGAGAAATTCATACACTACATACCTCTTCTGATTTAACCTCTCGGCTAGTGAAGTCTTTCACACAATCCAGGAAGCAGGTTTCTGTAAGCTTATTGTATGTCCCAAGAAACTCTTTGAACTGAGGGGGAAAAAAAAAATTGAACAGCTATTCAATGTAGAAACTCACCAATGTTTCCACAAAACGTTTTCTTCCTGTGCAACTTCACTGACACTGGCAGAACAACTTACACATCTAAAGCGACAAGTCACTGGAGATAATTTAGCATCAATGGGATGGCAGCATTTGATGCTGAAATCTATTGTTCAGCTCGGTCAGAAACAACTCCAGGCTTGCTGATGACCAACATATTAAAATCCTGGCTGCCATAATACTGTTCCCAATTCAAAAGACAGTATAAAAATGCAACTCTGGCTGCATTTTTCTTGATACCTGGAGGAAAAGTTGCCTTTCAAGTGCATGATAGTAGCTTCCCTACCTCTGAAAACAAAATGCTAGCTTAAACGTCTTGAAATGAGTTTCCATAACCCTCATGTGCTGAGCTTCTGTGTGTTGAGGTAATGCAAAACTCTCAAAGCAATCATTTGAGTGCAGCCTCTTACCTGCTTGATTTGATCAGATTCTGGTATTTGCCTGGCCATATTTTATCACTCTGCGACTCAGACACCTATTTGGAAGACAAAGCTTGTGTCATAATGCACTCAAAAAACACACAGTAAGAAAATTAACATTCTACAGCTGGAAAAAAAAGAAAAAAAAAAAAAGTTGAACCATCTCTGAATGTGACCAAACGTTTCTTTGAAACCCAACTTACAAGAGCGACTGTTGTGTCTTAAGCTTCCTACATAATTGGTGTCTTTAAAACCATCTCAACAATAGATCTACCTTTGATTTAAAGAGATAATGTCAGGTCAAATTTAACTCAAGCTTCAGATCTTGTGAAAGTAAGATTTTTTTTAAAGTCCAAGGCCAAGAGGATTGATGAAATGAATTTTAATGTCCCAATGGAAACAGCTGTCTATACAGGAACAGCTCCCTGCAGTGTGAATTGACAGTGCAAATACCCGAAAGGGAAGGTGGCTATTACAGAGCAATTCTACGGTCATTGTCCAAACTGAGAGAAATGTAAATGAATGAACTGAAAACATGAATTCAGTTAAACTAATATGATTCCTTACCTGTTACTAACCTGACTGACTGACAGCATCCATCTGAGAGTTATTTATGAAACTGAAACATATGCAGTTAAGAAGAAAAAATGCCCATGTTAGTTTTGGGTGCTACAACCTTCCCAAATCCATCTGCCAGGTGTTGTGGTTTTACAATAATTTTTTTAAATGTTTCTCGTCTCTGCTGGTATTAGAAACACTCAAAAAAAACCCAAAAAACCCAAAAAAGACTGTGCAGAAAAAGCAATAAGTCTATCTGTAATTGCTAGAAGACAGATATAAAAGTAAAATAGAAATAAGAAAAAGAAACATTCTTTAGTCTTGTTTGCAGTAACCTTTGGTGTCATTTATATCAACAATAAGCAATAAAGGTAAACAGGATTTAAGCTGACAATGCCTCTTAAATTAGAGAACTGGAGCATTGAGACGGGTGCATTTGGACTGAAGTAGTATTCTAATGGACTCAATACCCCACACTTAAAAGCCAATATTAAACTTTTAGTAATTAAAAAAAAAAAAAAGGTAAAAAATGCAGTGCATCTTATGAGATAAATATAAGGAATCTTCAGAAGGAAATAAGAATAGCTCAGAAAGGATAAGAGACAGGGGGAAAAAAAAATATTGGCTTGAAGGCACACGTTAAGACTTCTTAGGAGGAGAACGCTGGGCCAAGCAAACAGCATGCCCTGAAGGTCAACAGACCTCCAAAAAGTCCATACTCCAACATTTTTACTTAAAAGTTGTACCTGCATATAACTATTTTGGCAAAGAGTATGTTTTTTTTTTTTTGCTGAGACAGTTATGCACTGGTGAAACCCCAAGTGGGGATGCAGTTACATACCAGGATAAGGTGCTTTATGCTAGTGTAGCTCCATTTTGGCCCTTAGTATAACAAAACTTATATGCAGAGACAAGTCCTCTGGCTGTGTCAGATCACAGCTCGGGTGGGGAAAAAGGGAGAAAAGGAAAGTTAATTTCAAGGCTCTCAATTGAGAACATCCTACCCCAGTCTTCCAGTGTACAAATCAGTAAAATTAAGTGTCTACATAAATCTGAGCTGTCAGAATAAAGCATGGGAGAAGAGGCACTTTCGGTTACCCAGGGTGTGTCTACACATACACTTTAACGTGCATTAGCCTACTGTAATAATAATAAATAAAAAAAAAAATCATAAAAAAAAAACCAACATACACTTTCACTAATATGCATTAAAATAGGCTAATGAACGTTTTTCTAGTACTTCACAATAGAGGTCACTTTTACATGCGCTCCGGAGTTGGGAGGGGGTGGCACTTTAAGTAGAGAGGCTGCGAATTAAAGCGCTGCAGTGTCTCGTGTATCAGTGGCCCTGCACTTAAAAAATGGTAGCGGAGGTACCTGAACTAAAGCCTGTTTGATGAGTTTTAGTTCAAGCGCCCCCACCACCATTTTGAAGTGTGGGGACACTGATGCACAAGTCATGCCAGTAATTACTATGCTTCAGCAGACTTGATTAACAGAGTCTGCTCCAACGCGCTGCAATTACAGCACGTCGGAGCAGGCTCTGCACTTGTGTACAGGCACCTAGAGGTACTAGATTTATTGCGCATTAATGAAAGCGATGTGTCCCCAGAAACCAAGCCACAGGCAGCTTTATAGAGCATGTTAAAGAGCACCAGCACACTCTTTGATTACAAATGCAATATTCTTCCCATGTAAAGCTTCACCAGAAATGAGCAACTATATTCTACACTCACTGAAATAAGCACCCATGCAGCATGCTTTGGAAGAAAGGTCTTGCGTGGAGATGATACAGACAGGGTAGGTGGTGACCCGCACATCGGAGGAGAATGAATAGAGCCTACACACCAGGCACAAATCTAAAGGGTGCACATCTAAATGTCTAGCACAGCAAATCACTGAAAAGCTGACTGCTTAGCACTGAATAAAGCCAACTTGAGCTTCATCAAAATCATGTGTTCGGGGAGGAGGGCACAGGTTCTCTGTGCGGAGCACATTTGATCTTGAAACACAGAATTCAGGCTATTTTAGCTGTGCTTAATAGAAAGAAAAAAAAAAAAAAAAAGAAGAGATCTATCTGTTGCAGTCAGCTCTGCTTGAAGTGAAACACTAACGTTCAGACGTAACAGCCATACATTGAACCTCTAGTAGAAGACAAAATTAGTTTCTCTGATATTCGGTGGAAATATATATAGTCAGAACTATTCATAAGTGAGCCATTCAGATAAGCCAATCGTTCTACTCTTTCCAGCAAGAAACACTGCCTTTTCAACAGAGACCTGAATACTGACTTGTATGGCAAAAAGGGTTATTTAAACATTGACTGGAACTTTGAGGCAAAATTTAAATGACTTAATTATACCCATGTGGAAGCCAACATGCCCGAGAGGGTACTTATGATCCTCAGAAAGAAGAAAAAATGACCAAGAACTACATCCAGGCAGACAGATTAAACAGGTGAATCTCTTAAAGAAAAATCTGTAAGACAGGGTTGCTTCTCAGAGGCAAGAAGTTGGAGGGGATATGCAATTGTGTATCTCCAAGCAACTGTAGCAGGCACTACTATAAACTGGGACAGCAACTCGTGTGAAATGGATGACTACTTCCTTGTCACATGACTGCTTCGCTGCTATCTCATTTCTTAACCAGCTTGCCAGGAAGCACAAAGAAAGCCAACTAGGCTCGTCAGAGCCCAAAGTGGTAAAATCCCACTGAGGTACGCAAGTCTTGTGTTCCCACCAGGGCAAAGAAAATTAATGGTCACAAACCCCTACAGTACCCTCCTCTCATATTTAATATTCTGACTGGTGATTTTTATCCGTGACTTAAGGTCCTGTCGTTTAATCCTAGTTTATCAGGATTAAAACAACTGATTTACTAAAATGTGTTTCCAGAAAATCTTTGCACCTGCGCTTGGGGAACAGCTTTAATTGTGAACTTAACAGCGTGGTGCTGCCTAAGTGCCTGAAGCACAAATCCATTTCTCTAACGTTGGTGCGTTCCCTACCATCAGCAGTGAATTTATATAGCTCTGTGCGTATGGCTCTCTTCGGTGGCTATGAATCACTCCAGTTGCCCTTGTGCCGCCCAAATGTGTTATGTGAATGTTCACAGAGACGCATGTCTGACTTATTCCTGGGGTACGCTAATGCCACCTATCCGTCCTTGTTCCAGCTGTTCTTGTTGATGAATCCATCCTTTGTGAAAATAAGGAAAGAACAACGAAATAATCCATTCTGGCCTGACAGGCTGGCACTACAACTAACGAGCCAGACAGATTCCAATGGATACATTCGCTGCATTCAACATGCATCACGTCTAACTCCTATTCCAGCCCAGCCTCCAGAGGGTCAAGGAAGGCTCTGAGCTGAGCATGACTTGAAAGTCGGGTGCTGCTGTTTTTAATGCGAGTCACCTCCAAAAAAGGCAGGTAGCTATTGAGCAAACTGCTACAATGACGCTCAGTCCTGACTCCCCAGGAGAACAGTCCACGTTAACCACGGAGTCACAATAAGAGACGCACCCCGAGGCGACTGAGAGACAGCACGTTCCCGCTCTAAAGGAAGTGGACTACAGTACACCCAAGAGGGGGCTATTATTACTGCATTATCATGTCTGCAGAAAAGACCGGCACAAGGCCTGCAGGAAAAAGAAAACGATAACTTATCTGCAGCTCTTTGCGGAAGATCTTAAGAGTCACTTGTGCCTCGGGAGCTGCGGTCTGGGTATCGCAACTATACAACAGACGGCAGATGGGTGCACTGGAGAGCCCTGGGCCACTACAGAAGGACGTGTCCCTGGGAAGCACTGCTTTTGTGACACATCATTAAAGCTCTTCTAAATGGTGCATTTAAAACAATTGATGGTGGTTTGGTATTTTTTTGAAAAAAACTGTATGAATGTAATAGTGGAGACTGTGGTTTTGGTTTACCACTAAGCATAAAGATTTCCCTTCCCCCCCAAGAACGGCTTCTGAAGGTAACCGGTTTGGAGCTAGTTAGGTCCTCGGTCTCTGACCCTTCTTCTCCAGCTCGGTTTCCAAACCTGAAAAAAAATGCTTGGATATTTCTGTATGCAGCTGCCATTCCTGTCACCATGGAAACCCCAGATCACCAGGTAATCATAGCTTTAAAGAAACTTGCTTTTCTTTTTTTTTTTTTTTTTTAAAATAAAAACAGTGATTAGGTTAAAGTTTCCTAGCCAGCTTGGGGCCAATCACTTGCTGGTTTCCATGGCAGTAGCAGCAGTAGCCAGCCCCACACCTGTCAGAACTTTTCTAAAATTTCAGCAGCGTGGGAATGCCATTTCCCTTGCTGCACCTACAGACTCAAGGCAGCAATAAGCTCATGCACGTAATTGTTCTTGGCAATTTACTGAAACGAAGCTTTTGATTCTCCTCGCTGTCAGAGTAGGTGGCGAAAATCCTGACGCCACTGAATGGATGCAAATCATAAGCGAACCATACAGAAGCTTACAAAGGTAATTCTTCACTGACAATCAGCATTCGCATCTATCATTTAATCTAGATGTAAAGTCAATGGGAATCTTTCCCATGGGAGCTGGAGAGACGTCTTAGTGTATTCTAAGAAAAGACGACAAATAACTACCTTATGGAGGGAATTTATCATTACTGTTAAGAGAGCCAAGTGTCACCAAAAGCAACTTTGTCCCTGCAGCCATCACGTTACACGTGAAGGTCCATCAGTAACACAGCCATAACTGGTTGTAGGGGCTTTCCTTGGAGATGCAAGGAAAATGCATGGGTTTTCCCATGTTTCATAGTAGGTAGGGCCGGAAGGGACCCGAGCAGCTCATCAAATCCGACCCCCCACCATGGGCAGGAACGAATGCTGGGGTCAAATGACCCTGGCTAGGTGATTATCTAGCCTCCTTTTGAAGGCCCCCAGGGTAGGAGCGAGTACCACTTCCCTTGGAAGTTGGTTCCAGATCCTAGCCGCCCTGACTGTGAAATAATGCTTCCTGATGTCTAGCCTGAACCTACTCTCAGTCAACTTGTGGCCGTTATTCCTAGTTACTCCCGGTAGTGCTCAGAGGAACAGGGACTCTCCCCATTCCCCGCTGGTCCCCCTGGTAAGTTTATAGACGGCCACCAGATCCCCTCTCAAGCTGCTCCTGGGGAGGCTGAACAGGTTCACGTCCCGTAGCCTCTCGTTGTAGGGCCTGCCCTGCTGCCCCTGGACCATGTGAGTGGCCCTCCTCTGAACCCTCTCAATGCTGTCCACATCCCTCCTGAAGTGTGTGGAAGGGGAAGTTACAGATGGTGTGTTAAAAGTCTGACAGTCATAGCCTTGAGAAAAGGAGCATTAAGCTAAGAGTTGCTATGTTAGAAGTGAATGTCCCTGACACATGAAAAATTAATTTTTAAAAGTTTCAGAAGTCCTTTTATTGAAGCTAGAGTGACAGCTACATAAGAAACCAGAAAATTAGACCATAGGAAGGTGGCACTGAAAGGGACCTCATGAGGTCACCCACTCCAGCCTCCTGCTCAAGGCAGGAACATCCCTAACTAAACCATCCCAGCCTGCCTAACCTGTATTACAGTATCTCCATCCCTAGAAATTTTCAGCTTCTTTAGGTAGGCTGTTCCAGTGCCTGACTAGTAGTATGACTAACTCATACAAAACCGAAACTACAATCGTGACACTATAACGTGTAAGCAGTTCTGTGTTAAATGCTGATGTGCTATATTCAGAGGCCCAACCATCTCACTAAAAAGACGCAGCCTCGAAGTGCCCTCTTGTGCCTAAGAGTTGGTATACAGCTCATCTGCAGTCTGAATTATGTGTTTTATGTCAAAACTGTATCAGGCTCTTAAGACAATTTGCGCGCGCACAAGAGCTTTCCTTCCTGTTAACTTACGACGCGTACTCCATCTTCAGCCTTACATAGCCAGGACAAGATTAGCTAGCATGTCCCGTGATGGACAAAAATCTATTTGATGTGCTGAAAGACTCGTGCCGTTCACAGGATGCGCACCAAGTCTGTGGCCCAGAATCAGCACTGGAAGAAGCAACCACATCTCCTAGCAAGCTCAACTGCAGAAAGGTTGATTAGCTCTGGAACTGAACCTGGATTAGCAAATCTGAAAATTAGAGCCACTGGGAACCTCTTGAACATTTCCAAGCAGATGCAACAAAGCATTAAAAAAAAAAAAAAAAACCAAAACAAAAAAAAAACCCCAAAAAACCAAAACCACCCCCAACAAAAAACACAAAACCTGCTTAGCTTTGTATGCTCTCCATTTTACATACAGACTGGGCCTGAGGCCATTTATTTGGTGAGCAGATGACACCACCACCTGAACTGCAGGGGAAGCTTTCACTTAATCATTTCTTCCTGCCTTTTAGCTCTCACCTTCCGACATTTCTTTACTGAATTTATGCTTGCCAAGCCAAATTCCAACCTGCTATAATTGAACACTGCTAGTGACGTCTGGGGAAGCAAATGAAAGGAATCTCAAGTATAGTTTCTTTGTTCCTATTTCACTCTGGAGTTAATTCCAGGTTTATCCTCTGCATGAAACAGCTTTTCTGCTTGAATTCTCCATTTCCTCTTACCTTTGAAATACTTCTTGTTTTGAAATCTTTAACTTTCTAGTATTAACTGTATTAATCCCTCTCCAACTTTGAGAATCCTCTCTGAGCTTGCCATAAGGCTTTTCTCTTGAGCCAAGAATTGATTCCACAAACAGATTAATTTAGGTTCTTCAGGCATGCTTCCTACAGTCTGGCTGTACCCAACACTGCTTTCAGATAGATTAATACTGTTTATGTGGAATAGGACTCAGTACTGAATAGGGCTTACATCTTACTTTTCACTTTGTTCCTTGATGTATTAGTTTCAATTGCTTGTAAAAAAAATTAGGGTCTTTCCTTATGTCTTCTGATAGCACCACAATCTACTATCTACTGTGGAAACACAGAACAGATGCTCCTGATGTCTCAAAAAATGGAAAAAATATGCATATAACGTGGTGCACACATCAAAGATACTTAGACATGGCTCTGTGGAAAAAAAGGCCTGTGTGTGAATGGAATCTAACCATGTTACTGAGTTATAAGGAGCATAAGAGGACAGACAACATGGATTATGAAAATCCAATGCGTAGCTGGAGACCAGAGGCCCCACATTGAGTTGGCCTCCCCACTACACTGCACCCTTCCCTCTGCTGTGCTGTGCGAGCACCCTTGAATCACCCCACCCAGCCCCCAAGGGCAGGAGCAGGAAGCTGGAGAAGGGAAAGGCAAGGCTGGAGACCCCAGAAGCAGCAGCAGGAGAGTGATTGGGGGGGTGGGGGGGTGGGAAAGAGCGCAGAGGAGCACCTGGACCAGGAGCTGCAAGTAAACGCCTTGCAGGCTGCCACCTGGATAGCTCTAGTCTAGCAGGCAGGGCAGAGTGAACGCATGGTAATCCCAACTGTGTCACTGGCCTGGTGGGCAACACAGGACAAACCATGTAACCTCCCATCTCTTTCAGGTCCCAGACTGGACCAACAGGGTCAGCGATGCTGATGTACGTTATGTGAAACCAGCAGCATCTAACCATGGCCAGACCCTGTCAAATGTTAACTGGTAACTAAGGTATCAGAAGCAGACTGACCAAGTTTCCCTATGACATCAAACTTTGGGGTAAAGCGTCCACACCCGAGGACAGGATGGTGATCCAGGCTGACCTTGACAGGCTCAGAAAATGGGCAGGCGAAAACCTGATGGTGTTCAATGCTGAAAAATGCAAAGTATTCCACCTTTGGAAGAAAAACCCGCAGCATGCTTATAGGCTTGGCAGTGCTATGCTTCCTAGCACCACAGCCAAAAGGGACTTGGGGATCATAATTGACCACAAGATGAATATGAGCCACAATGTGATTTTGCAGCTGGTAAAGTGAACAAAACTCTGGCGTGCATCCAAAGATGCTTCTCAAGCAAATCTCCGGATGTCATCCTCCCGCTGCACTTGGCCTTGGTGAGGGAAGGATGTGGAGAAGCTTGAGAGAGTACAGAGGAGAGCCACGCGCATGATCAGGGGGCAAGAGAACAGGCCCTATGATGAGAGGCTGCGAGCCATGGGACTCCAGCCTGGTAAAGTGCAGGCTTAGGGGGGACCTGGTAGCAGCCTAAGTATATAAAGGGGGTGCATCAGGATCTGGGGGAATATCTGTTCACCAGAGCACCCCAAGGGATGACAAGGTCAAACAGTCACAAACTCCTCCAAGACCATTTCAGGCTGGACTTAAGGAAGAACCTCTTCACTGTCCGAGCCCCCAAGGTCTGGAATAGCCTGCCCCCAGAGGTGGTGCAACTCCTTTAAGAGACATTTGGATGTTTATCTTGCTGGGATCCTTTGACCCCAGCTGACTTCCTGCCCCTGGGACGGGGGACGGGGCTCGATTATCTTCCGAGGTCCCTTCCAGCCCGAATGTCTGAAGTCTGTGAAACTTCCTACCATAGTCTTTTCAAGTCTGAAATACTGTCCCTGGACAGTCCAAAGCCTCCATCTTTAATTTTAACCTGAATGCTTCCTTTAACAGAAAAAGAATTCCAGAAACGTAAATTAAATCTTTTCCCATCCCAACACTCAAGTTTTTACCCAAACTTCCTCAAAATTAACACATGCCACAGGGGACTTATTAAAACTTACCATAAAAGGAGACAGCCGTGGAAAAGACACAAAGGCCCTGGCAGACTCTACGTTTAGGATGCGATTAACCTGCTAATTGCATCTTAAATAGAAACCTGGGTGCACATTCAAGCAATTAACAGTGCAACCAAACAAAAACCAGCCACGAGGTTGTCCCGCAACGTTCTTGTGGCTGATTTCTATCATGCCTTGAACGCGTCGGTGGCAGGGTCCCCGCCATGTAGCCTAATGTTGGCAGCATGGCAGGGCCTGGCCGGCAGCTTAGTGCCGGGGGCCACGTGGCGCTACGCCCTGCTCTTGCCAGGGTGCCGTGTGGAGGGCAGCTCAGCACCTGTGCCAGGGAGACAGGACGCCTGGGTTCCCTCCCAGCCTTTGACCTTAGACTTAGCTTGACCCTGGCGGAAAAAGGTGCTGGACAGTAGCTGTTGCAAGGACCTTGGGATCGGGCAGCCTCTCCTGGATTGGGGCCCTGGCACATCAGGACCTGCACAGACCATGCCTGCGGCCGGGCCACCCCCCAGCAGTCCCTGGGGCCCACCACCCACCACCACCTGCCCCCGCTCCGCCCAGAAGGACCTCCCTTCCCATCGTGCCACGAAGGTAACGTACGCAGGGGCCAGGCTCTCCCATCTCCCGCTTGCCAGGAGGGACTGCTCATCCCACTGCGCCATGAAGGTAATGTATGTGAGGCCAGGCCCCACCCCAGCACGGCCAGGAGGGCTCTCCCATCCCACTGCGCCATGAAGGTAACGTATGCGGGGTCCAGGGAGAACACCCCAGCCCCCTGCACCCCCCCACTACCCTCCAGGCCCAGGCCCCGGGCCGGGGCAGCCCCCCGCGCGCACTCACCCCCAC